GGCTTTTCCCGCAGGTTCACGCCCTGCCCCAATTCACGATCTCGACATGACTCGACATCCTACGGTATACAAAGCCCTCGTCCACCTTAACCTCAACATCCCAAAACGGAGCGCGCCCGATCCTTGCAGGCTTCGAATTCGCTCGTCGGCTGGAGGCAGAGCGGCCACCGGCCTAAGTTGGGAGGGCTTTGAACGTCCAATTAGGGCTTCTTGCGGAAGACTTTGGTCATTGGGTTCGAGAGTTTAAACTAACACAACAGCTGCCTTCAACTTGGCTGGTGCCGAAACGACAAAGCGAAGGTTTTGATGTTGCAGATCTTGTCAGGTTCCCCTGCCTCCCCTGAACGATGAGTGTGCCCCCCTTGTCCTACTTTCAATCTGTAAAGGGGAGATGCCGCAAACAACATGCAATGAAGATGTAGGCGGGGTTTCTCATTCTTGTGCTCGCTGAAGGCATGGAAGGCTTGACAACGACAGCTCCCTGAGATGCCAACAATACCCACAGATACTCCAAGCCCAAAGAGGTCAGGCTCTAATCGCTGTTTAGCATAGCAAAACCTATTTCTGACGAAAGGACTAAACACAAAATCTTTGAGACTGCGGGCCTAGGGAACGCAGAAGAGCCCATATGAAAAGGCTCTATGTAAAGCCATCGTGTACAATCAGGATACTTGCTGGGTCCCAAGAAATCAGTCGGACGTTTAAAAATGCTTCAACCCCACTTAATCGCAGAGCCTGTGAACATGCTTAAGTGACTAAGTACCCGGAGACCGTTGTTAGGGCTCCGCACCACAGCCAGTTTGGACAGCCCATGTTTAAACATTCACGCCACTCTGTTAAAACGTTTTTCATCTGCAATGATTCCGAGGAGGATGTTCAGACACCTTCGGTTCTGCCAGACTTGTTGAAGCAAACCCTGTCTCAGCAGCAGAAGTGCCTCGACACCTTTGCCTAACGCCAGATCTTCGACCCGTGCTTGTAGACGCTTATGCTTAAGCGGCCTTTCCATGAAACCTGTTTGGCCCATGTCAGCCCATCCCTGCCCCAAAGGCCTCAAAGCCCCCAAAAGCCCCCCCACCCAGGCTTGCCTAACCCTAAACCCTAAACCCCCAAACCCTAGGCCCTAAAACTTGGAACCCTAAACTCTGAACACCTAATCCCTAAACCCCCAAACCCACTCCAAAAGCCCGAAGCTCCTGGAATCTGGGGACCCCGCCGATGTGGCGCTGCGCGGCTTCGAAGGCGGCCTCCGCGAGGAGCGACCACTGGGCCCTTTGCCTGGCTTGGAGGCAGCAACAGTAGTAGTACAAGTAGAAGTAGAAGTAGAAGTAGAAGGAGAAGGAGAAGGAGTAGGAGTCGTAGTAGTTACTATAGTCATGGAGGAGCTTTTCTTTAGGGGTTTGGGGCTGATACAACTACTCTTCCCCTCAACCCCAAAAAGCCTCCCAATCACGATCCCGAATAGCGCCTGGGTCATTGTCGGTTGCCGTTCTTTGAAACGAGGGGCCGAGTAGAGTACATTTCGTCTTGGTGCCTACACCTACGTGTACAACCGGACAACTCCGGATCTGCCATGAACTCAGTTCGGGTTGAGTTTGGGAAACGGGGTTTCAGGTTTCGGGCACTCTAGCAGCGTCAAGAACCCTCAGCTGCGAACGATTTTCGCCACCGTCCGCTTTATGTCTTGTCGAAACACAGGGATGCTTTGCATCCCGGTCACAATGAGGCGCACTACGTGAAGTCCCGGAAACCTTCTTCCTCTGTCTGTGCTGGGGGAAGAAATATGACAGAATCTGAGTTCAAGAGGCTCTCTATGAAACCTACTTGGAGGTCCACGGGTAGTTACAAGTGGGGTTATAAGTAGGGTAACGATAATTATAACCCATATTAGGGCACTTATGATGAGGTGCGAGTCAAAGTCCTTCTTGCGAGGCTGGCTCGGGATGCGAAAATTGATCTTGAGGCGGGACTGCGAGGGATCTCGGGGACGTCCAACGTATCAGGAAAAGGCCAGCGCTTCGTGTTGAATGGATCTTTTTCTTCGTATTACATAATCACACTATACGATATCACATTGCTTTACATATTTGTCATGACTTCCAGAAAGTTACTTGAAGGATCACTTCGTGCTTTGTTGATGAGTGAACAGTCTGAGCTGCCCATTGCCTCCAATAGTTAGGGGTCTGAATGACTTGTGCTAGGACCATCGTATAGTTCCTATGTAACCGCATGGTAGTAGAACCCAAAACGAACTTCAGCCCCGAAGCCCTCAGCCCTGAACTCAATGGCGAAAGTGATTTAGAGTAGGGTCTTTAGGGTTCAGACAAAGATCTCTGCGAAAAGGGTATTTAGACGACGGATCACGCACTTGCTGCATTTTCCGTAAGAATTTTCTGCGACAGGCTCTATAGTGGCCTTATTGTGCTGGTTAACAAAGGATCTAATTTAGACGGGCTTGTAAAAACTGGTTTACAAGGGCAATATGGAACGCTTCAGAAAGCTCGGGATCTAGGATATTTGGCAGTGAGTCTTGCAACATGAGGCTTTCGATAATCAGGTTCTCTTGAACACAAGCTACGTTCGGATCACAAAGCCAGCCTGAGTGCTTAACCATCAAGCTTGATTCTCAACATCAAGCTATGGGGAATCCAAACACAACATCCGAAGCGGTGGCGGCTGGATACAATGCAAGTTTGCTCCCGTTGCCTGCAAAGGGCTACGAACAGCCGCCCAACCCCCGATGCACGATCCGGCACCTGTTGCTGCATCAAAGGACCCGCTCCAAAGCGCCTAAGCAAATCATAGCCGCGGGTGCCGGCAACGGGTTGGTGCCGTAATTTACCGTGACACCTGCTGCAGATTCAGCTCTCCCAGGCTGGTTGACAACATGAGCACTCTGAGCTTTTTCAGGTTCCAAGGTGTGCGGGGCGGCCAAGGTCTTCATGACTGTGGCAGCCTAGTTCGCCGCAGCCCTCCGCATGCTAACAACCCAAACCCTTCAAGACAGACCCTAGCCCTAACCCCCACATCCTCAACCTGAAAACTTGACCTTAACCCGCAAGCCTGAGCCTCAACCAAGCCGGGAAACGAAGCTGTCCGCGTGGTGTCGTTTGCTTCGAGTCTTTCGCTGCAACGGGAAACCGGAGGTCTGACTCCACACAGCTGACCCGCAGAATCCGCCAGAAGGGCTTCTAAGAAAGGATAGGGTTATGGGGCCCAGTCTACTCAACATAATTATAAGAAGGGACCTCCAAACCGGTATAGGTAATTATCAAGGCCCCAATATTAGCTGGTTTTGACAAAGCTTTGTCAGGCTTTCGAAAGCGTCAGGCTTACCGGCGTTACAACCTCTTACTCCTGTCCTACTGCTGATCCAGCACCTGTAACGTAATTGACTACCGTATTGGCCTTAATAATTAGATCCGGGTTTTGGGGCCTATTATACTATGCTTATAACAAGGAACTCCTGCAATAACATTGGCAATCATATTTAAGCCCCTACAGTAATTGACCAGGCCAAGCCTTGTCACGGTAGCGTACACAAAGGCCCAAAGCAGTTCCTTTTTGCAGTTCATGTATAGAATCCTATAAGGTAATCCCAAAAAGGAACTACTTTGGGGCCTATGGGTAGACTGGGAGTCCAGGTTGCAGTCTTCTGGGATGCAGGAAGTGTTCTATAGGGATCTATGGAATTGCAGTCCCTGGGCTTTGGTGGAACAGACCATGAAAGGCACGTTAAGCTTTCCCGACTTCCCGATGTAAAGTGTAAGTGTGGGCGTGCTCCAACTTTGCGCCATCGTTACCATCGGACACCGGACCTCTTCTCAGGTTGCACACCACCCTAACCCTAAACCACCCCCAACCCTAAACCCCAAATACTGAACACGTCCCACACTGCAGGCCAGATTTCAGCCGCTGCGCGCAGGGCACGCGCGAAATAGATTCTGGAGGCCCTCTGAGGAGCTTGGGCTTGGGGGACCGTCTCTAATCATATAATCTCTTTAAGGTTTCTTCCCCCCTACTTAGAGTTTAGGGGCTTGGAGGTTGGGGAACCCATCAGAACCCCCCCCCAACAACTGAAACCGAAGGCCCCAAACACAGAGCCCTCACAAAGGGGGTCCCGAAGCTTCTGGGACTCCTTGGGCGCTCCGCAGAAGGCGGCGGCTGCGGTTCGGAGAGTTCTTTCTTGCTGGATGCTTCCCGGGTTTTCTGGGCGTCTTTACAGGGTTTCTTTAAGGCAACGTGCAGCGGCTGGAGTTTGGTGTATGGAGGCCGTTTCAGACGGAGCTTCTTAATCGGTGTAAGTGTAACCGAAGGATTCTTGAATTAGGGGTTTGGGAGTCCCTGTGTGGGTGGTCGGGATAAATACAGGGGCAAGAGAGCCCAAGAGGGATCTGGGCTTGGGGCTTGGTGTTGAGCAATCGAAGGTCTTCAGGCTTGTAACTTTAATGACGACGTAACTATCGCTTTCTACCCAAGGTTGCAGTCCTCCGCCAGGTCTCAGGATCAGAGATTTAGTCGATCATTGTATAATGTGGCATATATGGTACATGGTCCGGCAGCTTCAGGGAACTTAAACTCCACACAGCCGGCCACGCTCGTGGTCACAAGAAATGCGAGCTCTGCACGCCACCCTCGCCTCTAACCCTCAGTGCTAGGGGCCTTGCAATTAGATTTAGGAAAGGCTCGTTGACTTCAAGGCATATCTCGCCTCAAGAGTAGACTGCCATCGGAGGTCGGGGATATACTGCCACAGCCGTTTCCTCGGGCTTCTACCCGCACTATTGAAACACTATAGACTTGCGGCAAACGCTTACGGCTCTTCGTTTGGCTATGCTATATACCTGCCATATACTAATGAAGAGGAGGGTGTGTGGGTGCACAATCAAATACATGACTACAAGGAGGCCTCAGCATTCAGACCCCTGCATTCCGTAAGTTTAAGGCGTGGGGTTTTCTGAAAACTGCGCTGCAGAGCCAAGAAGTCCTGGCTCAGGAGATTACGTCGTGGTGTTAATGACCGGCATCACCTGATCACGCCATGGGCTGCTAGAACTAGGGGTTACGATCAGTGTCACGGTAAGTGGTCCATGAGGGTTCTTAGAGGGAGGGTTTACTAAATCGGACTCCCTCTTAAACTTACACAAGGCTTCGTAATATGATTATACCCTGAACCCTATACCCTAGGCTGGGTACACACTGTGGCTCTCTGGTTCTTTCCACTCCCAAGGTACTTTCTAACCGTGCTGCACGGGGGGTTGTAGGGTTTCTAGAGGGCGTCTCCATACTTCCCCTTGAAGCCTGGCGGCTTGAACAATGAGCCGCGAGTTTTTCAACCACTTAGAAGAAACACATCATGCCCCAAACGGCTCACCCATCAGGGCATCTGAAATAGGGACACACCAAATGCCTAGGGCTTTAGGCTTCGGGAAACTTGGGTTTCAGGCTTCTGAGCTCAGTTTCGAAGGCTTCACTTTTGGGGGATCGGAGGACTTGTGCATAGGGGATGGCACTCGCGGACAGAAGGCTGAATGAAGGTGTCTCAATAGTTAGAATAGGGCGTTTGGGTTATAGTCTAGTGGAGTGATAAAGGGGCTTTAATTATAAGTGCCACTAACTACTCCGGCCCTGCAGAAAAAGCTTCTGATTGATCCTTGTCTTGGTGGAACAGTGCACCTTCCCGGGCACCAAAACTTCAAGCTACCTGAATCAAGGGCGACTCATAGAGCCTGTGCATTCTCATATGGAGATCATGAGGGGGTTCGTAGGATTGCATAGAAGAGTTCGATATCCCCGACTTCAGGATTACGTATCCAAGCCCTCACGACCAATGGTCTTAGAGACGTGTGCGGAATTGTGGCGACTACTTCGTTCGTGCCTCCAAAATTAAAAAGCTCCAATCTTCAAGGGGGCAAGTGCGCGTCTCCTACTACGGAGCCTTCAAACTGTAGCTCCTGAGGAACTACATGGAACTACTCAGCTCTACACAGCTCCTGTAAGTCAAACCGTGATTGCTCCAAGGGGCTGCCGCCGACAGCCGACGGGCAAAGCCCGAGCTACCTCGTTCCTGTGGCCTGCACGGTTCAGGGCCAAGGGGCTTAGGGTGGAGTGGGTATGATTTGGGAATTACCGGATTGGTTACACGGGATGGTGCACGGGTAGGGTTTGAGGCAGCTGCAGCTTACACCTCAAGATCCTGTAATATGCGGTGCTTCTATCTGTAGTTCCTTCATGTCCCTTCTTTCCGCAGGGTCTGCTCTTCATGTGCGCTTCTAGGTCTAGGTAGGGTCAGGAGCCCCTGCCTTGGTCATAGAGCAGAAGAACTAGGTAACGTCTTTCGGCTGTGGTTAGAAGGAATCGGGGATGTTCAGAGATCAGGGTAGTCTGGGGCCCCACTTCCGGATAAAGTTGACTTCTGATGGACTCCTGATGAATAAGCTGACTTTCTGCAACGACCCTGAAGCTACGGTTAGGATCCCTGGGGAAAAACGGTGACAAAAGTCAGGATTCTTCGACGCATCCCACAAAAACAAGCCCTGCAAAGCAGCCCGTGCAGGGAGAATTCGTCTGCGGCAAAACAAGAAGCTCGTGTGCCAGAGCAGACAGGGCTCCAAATAGACGAAACCTACATCCTAGACAAAATCTTCAAGCCCCAAACCTGAACCCATAAATCCAAACTCTTGGTTTGCGCACTGCGGCGCGTTTCCAAGAATCGTGGCATGAACAACTTGCGGTTATTTTTCATGCGTCAAGGCCCTAGAGCTCGAAGTTTGAACATTTCGCCACCTGGAGTAGGTGCCATGTATCTTCGACCCCAAATGCATCCTGATGTAGGCGACCTAAGCATTAGAACAGGGTTCTTTTGGGGTTATCATCTTGCAGTCTAGTTCGGCTGGAACTAGAAAGGGGGTACCACTACTACCTATCCAGACCGTTTGTTAAAGCTTCATCCCACAATCCCAAACCCTGAACCCCTTACAGGAACCTTGAACCATGGCACCCTTAAGGGACCCTAGATCCTAAAGGCCTTAGAACCTAAACCCAGGACCCTGGCTTCCGAGCCAAGCGGCGGCTTCTCTTTGCCTGTGATCGGGGAACCTCGCTTCTTCAACTCGTCAAAGACGTAGGATAGATCCCTGAGGCACAGAAAGAATGGGAACTCAGGGCTCTCGGCCCAGCAGTACTGCAGCATTCATCCGGATGCAACTGTCTAATGACAGCAATTCTAAATCCTGTCATTCGCGATGGTCAACAATTGAACTATGTTGCTGCTTGATATGCTAAGACACCCTTTTGCGTGTCAGGTTCGTAGTGCTTTCCTGCTTGTTGTCATCCAACCTCCGGTATGTTATCATTGTTTTTAAATTAATATGATTATTATGTTTATTATTATTGTTATTATTATTATCATTATTTTCATTATGGTTACTATTATTATCATTATTATTAGTGCATGAGCTGTTGGTCCAGGGTCGGTTGGTTGCTCGCAGAGGGGCCTCAGCGCCTCGCACTTTTCACGAAGTATCTTGGAACCGAGCTATAGATTATAGGGTCGTTGTCAAAATTAGGGTCCCTTTTTGGGTCCCTATTCTAATACGGCACCTGTGATTTGCGGTACCCAAAAAGGGACCATAATTTCCAAGATCGGGCACCGGGATTTCGGCGATCACACTCGGACAATCCAGGCGAGGCATATGTGACTAGCACGAGTCTGTTGAGCGAAACTTGCATGAAGACCGAAGTGAGTGAGAGAGAGAGAGAGAGAGAGAGAGAGAGAGAGAGAATCATACAACAGCCACCCCTATGCATACAACCTCCTAAGGAGGAAGCACATCCTCTCTTGCCTGAAATCCCTCTTCCGGCTTTGTCTAGCACCGGGACTTAGGGTCCAGGGCTTGGGCGTCTAGGATTTCGAGCCCGACACCCAAACCACAGAGGGGTCATCGAGTTTCAGAGCTCTGCTTCCGAGTGGCTCTGCCGAAAGGACGTCGGACAACTCGTTCGTGTGTTGGCTGTTCAGCCACATGGTAAACTCCTGGCAGTAGTTGTCTCTGGTTTCAGGTCAGACATAGGAACGCCTCCAGGTATCCTTCAACGACATTCTCAACCATACCATCCTGATGTATCCCGATAATCCACTACCCTGAACATCAACTGGCCCATTTCAAAACTGAACTAGCAAGGTCCGGTACTGAAGTCTCGGACCACAAGACTGCCAAACCTACAGAAGGCAAAGCGCCGCCTGCGCGTACCCTGCCACCGCATTCCATGCTGGGGGATTCGACGAAAGGGCTTTTGCCACCTGTGCCAAGAAGCGTGACTTTGGTTTGATGCCGGTGTAGGGTTCCTTTATCCTGCAATCAGATACAACTGAATTGAAAATTATGAGAAGCTCGTATACCTTTCAACTCCAGTCCGTAACCCAACCCCATACTCGAATCCGCGCCCACGAAACCTTGCAAAGCTGAAGCTTTGCACCCTAAACCCTAAACCCTAGAAAGCGCTTGTTTCAGCACAGGCTTGGGCGTGTGCCGGCAAGCTGGAAACCCCTAATCCTAACCAATTGGCTGCAGGTAGGGCTTTCGACGCTCACACTCGCACAAGGCAGGCATGGTAGGGCTTTAGGGGTCCCAGTAACCCCGTTGGTCACTGAGGCTCGTTTTTCCTCCTCACACTCGGAGTGAAGATCTCAATTTGTCACCATAATTCTGAGTCTACAATCGGCAAACCCGTTCTGCTTCAAAAACAGGTAACACCTGCTTTACGAGGTGCCCGACTCCTAATCAAGCTTTAGGAGTTGAAGGTTTAGGGGCTTTGCTTTGAGCTTCTGTTCACGGTTGAAGAACCTTCTTCAAAACTTAGAGCCTCAGAAGGGGAGCTTGCAGAATTGAAACCAGAGTTTGGGGTATATCGCATACTGCAACCATGCTTTGGAGAGAACCGGATAGAACGACTATGTATTCAGACCGACTGCCTCAGCTGGGTCCAGAGCCATCCTGGGCGAACTGCGGCTTCTCCAGCAACTCAAAAGAATAAAGGTTTAGGTGTTTAGACGTAAGAATGGCTTGAACTCCAACCACCATTGGCCACCATAGCCTCGAATCCGAAGACGCCCAAGAAGCTTAACAATGGTGGGCTCACAGTCACAAGCGATCTAAGCTTTTCTTTGCTTCCCTCTTCAAGGTTTGGATGCAGCATTCGGGATACCGTCGACCATACTCTCCGGCTTTTTTGGGTACAGGCCAGAAGATGCCCTTGCAGAGTCCCAGCTACTTAGCCATGCAAGCAATGCTGTAAATCCGTAGCCCGCAAACAACCCCAAACGCAAAGTAGAACATGGCCGGTAAGCCCCCAACTTCCTGGCCCCTTCGAAAAGCGCTTGACTCGTTGACCGGATGCAGGCCTAATTGTTGCCCCGCCCTGTGTAGGGTTTCCCTGTAGAACCTGTTGGTGTGTAAGTATGCATGTCTAGGTATGCATGTATGTATGTATGCATGTATGTATGTATGTATGTATGTGTATATACAGTGTAAATATATATACATATATATATATATATATATGTATATGTATATATAATTTTGCATGTATGTATATATGCATGTGTGTGCATGTGTGTATGCAGGGATGCCTGCAGGTATAACTAACTGCATATGCGGATTTATGTTCCTATCGTCACAGATCGGCATTTGCCGATCTGTACATCTATGCACACATACACATATGCTTTCAAGCTCACATACTAGGCATGTGCTTCGGCGCCGAGCAGCATGTCCGACTCCGATACTGCTTGAAAGGAGCCGAGATGAACCCAGTCGTCTTAGTTGTCGGCATCGGTTGGGAGGTGATCTCTGCTGTTTCGGTTTTGACACTCACACTCGGACAAGCCTGGCAAGGTCTGCAGCAATACTGGTTCACCGGGTCGTTATCATGCTTACTTGCTCGGTATCATAGGGTCTTGCGCACCTAGGAGATAGGGTAGATTTGAGGCTCTGCCACACGAGCTTTGGAGTCATCTGGGCTCTTTGGAGGAGGGAGAGAAGCAGAAGGAGCTGGTAGGAGAAGCCCCTCGAAGTTTGCTTTGAAGATGCGACACCAAAGGTGCCAAGACTCTGGCGTTCTTCCAGCATGTCCAGTCCCCTTTTTGGAGAACCCCTGGCCCACGCGGGAGGCCTTTCAAGTCTAGAGTGCTACACTTGAACTGTAATCCGAAAGGCTGTCGCCCGAATCTGTGATGCTGGGCTCTAGAACATAACTCAACAAACCTCCGGCGACGTCCAGCAAGACGACCAAGCAGCTAACCAAGTCTTGCCCAACCACAGTTCCCCACGAAAGCCAGGGCCCCACATCCTCCTTCAAACCCGATGGCTAAACATTTCCAAAATCCGAAGCCCTGCTCTGAAGCCGTCGTAGCAACCCCAAAGCCCTAAAACCCCCAAGCCCCGAAACGAGAAGTCGGATTCTACTGCAAGGGCCTCCACTGCTCACAAAACATGAACTCCTAAAGTCTAAGCTGCATGAGTCCCTGAGGTTCCCTGAGCCAGGCTGCTCGCCCAAAGGACTTGCTCTCCGACCCACTGCTGGCTGCGATCGATCTGCCGGGCGAAATGATACGTTCGACCCTCTTCCAAGAATTTCTCGGGCGCCTACAGTCGAGGGTGGTGGTAGTGGTCACATGTGCCTTACAAAATCGACAATTTTCACGGTTGCAAGGCAAAAGTCAGTCATACCAGTTTCGGCATGGCTAGGATTTGTGGAGCACGAGTTGGGGCTTGGGCTTGGTAGTTTGACACCTACGGTTCTCAGAGTCTGTAACAGACTACTTCTACCACTCCCACTGACTACATAGGCACTGTCTTTGTGATTGCCAATGCCTCTGCTGTGATGCTGACGACTGTCCTTCAGAATGGTATGTGAGAGCTGCTGAAGGCAAGTTGGACTGAATGGGCCTTTACTCACTCACAGCCGCCCCCCGTTCTTCTCCGCGCCTCGACTGCCACAGCGATCTGAACTCTGGGCGGATGCTGGGTGTAGTTCTGGTTTCCAGAGACGGTGAAGTACCTGGGCAGCTCCAGAAGCTATATATTCTGGACTTGTTTCGGCGCTCACTCTCGGAGAAGCCAGGTGAGGTCCTTGACTTCTTCAGGGCTTTGGGATACTTGGGAAAGCTCCAGGATCCTCGGGTAGCCTCCGCACAAAGATTGAAGATTCAGGCACCCAGTGCTCCGAAATGAATATTCAGGTGGCGAGGGTATTCTAAGGACCTTGGCCAGAGGCATCCAGGCATTGCAACAGGTCGGACCCTCCCTGAATGGTAGATCTTCAGAAGCCCTCCACCCCGAACAAATACCCTGGCAACCTTCTAACGGCACACCCTACAATCCAAGCTGCGCATGTGTGGCCACTTCCGCCGAGTAGAAATGGATGTCGCCACGTGCCAAGAACTTGTGCCTGAGTGTCTCAGTGGTGCGAAGCACCAAGGTCAGGGAAAGGAACTTTCGCAAACTGTAGGTAGATTATATATATATATGTGTATATATATATATGTATATATATATATATATCTAACAGAAGTCATGATTACGACGATGATCATCGCAAGCGCAACGCGAGGCCCAAGGTAACCCATACTATGGTAATACCAAAGTACCTATACTGAGTCAACGAAGGTGCCGCCAAAAGCTTGTCAATATCATGTAGCAGAAATGACAGGATGAACCCTCTAGGAGAACCTGGTGCCGTGCAACCTGCTGTCGGGTTGTGAACATTTGCTTTTGGCGCTAACAGGACCCGAAAGCCTTCGAAATAGTCGGTCTTGACCCCAGAAGTATAGTGTATAATCCTGAAGATACAGTAGTGGGTTCTTGGATACGGGGTTTAGTTTATGTTGTACCCTTAAATACCAGGAGCTTGCACCCAAGCACGTGTACTGCTACGACATACTCCTCAGCCCAGTGACCCTACACCCTGAGAGCACATGTTGATTGTGACGTAGCTCGAAATAATCCGCAAACACCCGCAGAACCTTTACCCTTGACCCTACGTGGGTAGGTTTCCGCTGCAAGCCTAAGCCTTACAAAGGAGTTCCAGAAAGGCGTCCTTAGTTTTCTTCAGCCTAAATGCAAGGTACGAAGCCTACTACAAGCCACCCTTGCGCCTAAAGTCCAAATTGCGCATAAGCGAGGGACGTTATGGTAGGTAAGGGTCTTTGTCTGCACGCCTGCACCTTCAACTCGTGCCAGGGTGCTGTATCGCATGTGTGACCAGACGTCGGAGAGTAACTTCCTGTGAGCAGGTCGCATTTTGGGCACTTCCAAACAAAGCACCCCTGCTTTTATGACGGATCCGAGAGCGAAATCCAGAAAGGTGGAATGCGGATTAGAGAGAGGATTCTCCTGCTATACTTGACATTGAAAGCATCAGGATCTTGATGCTCCAACTTGCTGGCGTGCAGTTTGATTACTGTGGCTCTAACACGAGGACACCATGCCATCTGAAACTCGCATGTTAAGCATGCGAACCAAGTGGACTCAGTCTGTTCTTGTCTTGCGACCTTGGACTGTTGAATTCCACCCGTCTCGTTTCAGTCCTGTCAAAGAGGTAGCCGAAACGCCGAAATGTTCATCTAAATCTGAATGAAGCCCCAGTGTTCTGTTCCTTGACCCCGACAAAGCCAGCCGTTGCAGCTGCTAACGACGCAAATAAACAGAGATGCATGTACGTGCATATTGGACACACGCACATGCTTTTAGATACACACATGTAAAACCAGAAGGGTTGCGCCTTAAACGCTGCATGCACGGCTTCCAATGACACGCAGTAGCATCGTGTTTAGTACAGGCGCCTTCGTAACTAGAATGGGCAGAATAGGGGTGATCCACTCGCCCTGGTGGCCGTGAGCCTGAAACCTTTTCTAACGGAACTTAGTTAATCTAAGAGTTCACTGAAGGGCTGCTGCAGGGCTCTTATGGGGTTGCAAAAGCTTTTTGGAGTTAGTCAGAGTGGCTGATGGTACCATGGCAAAGAATAGGGTTCACTCATTATGACAAGTGAAACCAACCTCCTTTAAACAGAACCCAGAAGAAGCGTGCAAACCTGCTCTTTGTGCAGGAATGAGAAGAGAGGGTGGACGATCATGGTCGGCATATCAACAGCACCTGGAGCGATTTCCCCAGAATGCTCCCGTTGCTCGACAGTGATGGGGAGTTTGGCTTCATCTGAGAATCTGCTTACAGCTACACGGAGAACGCGAGTCAACAAACGGAAAACACATGGGACACCTGACATCTGAGTTTCAGTTCTAGTGCCGACGGCCCCAAGTCGGAGATGAAAAAAAACCTCTAGTTTGACCCGTCAGAACACAGGAAACCGCACCACGACTCACCGACTCGCTCTCTCGCTCTCTCTCTCTCTCTCTCTCTCTCTCTCTCTCTCTCTCTCTCTCTCTCTCGATATATATATATAGGCTGGTGTCAAAGGGGGTCTTTCATAGGCAGCACTGAGCGTCGTCACACTCCTGTTGTTACTCTGCTCCACGGCGGCAGCCGCCGGCTGTACTTGCATCTAGCTGTTACCGTGCCTCGACACCCTCGACACCTTCGAAGTGGGATCTAACCTGTCGCACAAGCCATCGCCAAAAGCCGAAAGATCGGCGACTCGAGACCTTGACCCAATCCCCAACACTCCCAGAGCCTGTTTACCAAATGGTGGTTGTTATCAAAGTTATGCTCTTTCTCAACATGTTCGTGCAACCCTAGTAACAAGATGTTCAAGTCTTTCGGCTCCTTTCGAACATACCTGCACGCCCTTGACCGCACACTCTAAATCCTAAGCTTTCGACCCCAAATCCTCAACCCTAACCCTCAGAGGCACACAGCAGCTCATCCCGGAGTGGCTCCGACAGCAACTCGACGAACCTGTGCCAAAGGCAAGAGCTTCAGCTGCAAGTGCCCTAAACATTGAGGTTTCAGCACGACGCCAAGACGCCCTCAACCAGCAAGCCGAAAACTTGGTAAGAAGCTGTGTACTCTAGCAAATCGCTGATGCCCCAAAACTAACCTTTCAAACCACACTTCGAATCCCAAGGCCGAACCCGTCGCCGGAGGCCGCCGATCCAAAGTATTCAGTCTGCGCTTGGACTTAATCAATTCCCTGCAAGTTTATGACTGCCTTTTCCTTGAGATCCTGGCTCGGGGTCTCCTTTCCGGAAGCGTCTCAATACAAGTGAATGCCAGAAAGATGGAAGGTGCACTCTAACCGGAGTTCCAGCCCTCTTCATAGCTGGGCTAGCCCATTTTCAGGAGCTTGCAGTACGGCTCGGAACAGTCTCCGAGACCCAAACATTCCTTCTCCAAAACTCATGGGTGCTTCAGCTTTTCCATGGCAGGCATCATGGCGCATATCTCGTTAATTACCCTAAACGAAGCTACTCCTGAACAAAGGAGGCTTTCCCTAGTCCTGTGCAGGATGGGATGCCAGCTCTACAAAAAGCCCTGCCCCCTGAGCTAACCTTAAACCCTTATCCAAACCTAGTCTGATCATCTGGGGAACTGAAAGCTTGGAATCAGAGCACAGGAGCGCCAAATCGGTGTCTGTTTCACGGTAGTTCTGCTGGCAAGCCCACGTTCATGCTGAACAAGCAAGCTTAAAGCCCTGCTGTCTTGAGTCCATGCTAGAAAGAAGTACTGATATAAGCAACTGAGGTTTCAGGGAAACAGGAAGACCCCACCCAAAAAAGGAGCCACGCTCGCTGCACACGAGCAGCTTAACACTGCCGATCGAGAGGTTCATCTGTCGCTCATTCCTGAAGGGCTCGGGATGCCCAAGACGCACCGCTACATGAACTTGTGGAAGGTCATGCCTATAGAAGCCGGTAAGTTTGACTACATTGTGTTTGCATGGACTTTGGTGCACAACAGGCGAAGTCTCAAAACTCATGGACACTCCACTCTCCAATCAACAGGGCACAAAAGAACCAGCTTGTTTCTTGCTGAAGTTCTTTGCAACAAACGCCTCACAGTCTTTCTACCGACACTGTCTCAGGGCCTAGAGGCCTCTCACAAGCCGGGCCCAAAAAAGTATTCGGCCCAGGGACGGGTTCAGCCCTAAACTCCACAGCAGATGCCAAACTTCTGGCCAAGCATCCATGCATGCTCCACGTACCTTTGGATGCGCACATTGAGATCCGCTTTCACATGCCTGGGCATGGTCAGTCAGGGGGGTATCCTATTAATCCTATTCTTGCTTTTTGTACCTTGGAACCCCCAAAACAAACCATCTCATACTCGTCTCCACAAGGTACAGCCCGAAGTATACACTCGCGAACATTCGAAAGATGTGAAGCTCTCTTACCCATATCTCTGAAATAGCACTCATGGTATACACTCACCAAAATTCAGAAGAAGACGGGTTCCGAGTGGCTTGTGTGCCGGATTATTGGGTCCGGAGAAGGGTTTTTCCAAATCGCATTGTCATAACTTCACCCAGATATTACAACTCCAGATATCAATTCTACGCCGGATGACATCAAGGCTTTACAGAATGGGGCCCGGGTCTGTAGAATGTAGAAGCACGCTGAGGCCAGTATGAGGCCTATACTTAGAACTGCGCGGGGTTGTGATTTCGTAGCTGTGCTTGTTCTTGGTCCTGGCCTCCAACAAGGTCCGAAGGAAGCTGTTGATGCTAGCAGCCGCTACCAATGAAGCTTCAATCGAATCCAAACTCTTTTGGTTCCAGGCTAAACCCCAACGTTGGCTCAGGTTCTGAAACCTTGTGGACTCAGATTTCTCAAGATCTCGAGGCATGCCCCGGGTCCCGGAGACACGGACACGAACTCGCAATTTTCAGGATACATGCCTCAGCCCGCTAAAGGCTACCTAGGTAAACTATAACTATTCTTATATTTCGCTTATAAAAGTAAGTCTTCTGCTGACGATAATCATGAAAGAGAGCCCTCAGCTTCCATGCTTCAACCCGAAACTGCACCGGTCACGCCGGCCAGGATGCTTAAGGCGCATGTAGCGGCGCAGCTTCCACAGCTCCTGCATCCAATTCTGGGCGTTTCGGGTAGCCCGCTATCAGGTGGCACCAAACTTCCCCTCTAATCCGATGAAGTATGTTGCTAAACAGTCAGGATGTTGCCAAATCGTACCAGTTGGTGGGTTGCCTGGCCCAGCGCAAAAGCCAAGTGTGCAAGGTTTACGTCAACCCTAAATGGTTAAAGGTCACCTGACCAGCGACTTTACAGATCGAGGATTTGATGGTATCTGCTTGTTTCAATATTTCAGGACTTATCCTGAACCCTACGCACATGCTTCTGGAAGCCCCCGAATGGGTCCAAACGTCACTCCTTCAAGCGACACGAAACGTTCCAGAGGCCGAAGCCAAGAGACTTTAAAATCGTCATAAAGCCTCAACGCTGACTCTCCTGCCTTTGGTAGGCCAGACACAACAGACGCCTCTGAAAAAGACCACGGGAACTAACGATGCACCCGAGTCCGGGAGCGCCCCAACACGACGTCCAAAAACAGACATCCGCAGACACCAGGACGAAAGTCCGACCACGACTGCCTGCCGCGCTCCCGATCGGAATCTTGCAGTTTGGCATCAACTTCAACAGCCCTCAAAAGAAACCAAACGAGGGTTCTGTATATTCAATCCAAAAGACATTTATCCAGATCGAAGACCGGCACAGCCCACTCGATCCGGAACCCGTAAGCCCTGCACCCAAGCCGTACGAGCTGCAGCCGCCCTCATATTGCTCCTTCGCTTTCTCTTGCGACAAACCACGCAGTTGCGTAAGGATACCTCGCACATGGTGCGGGGTTTGAAGTTTTCGGGCTTGGGGGTTTGTGGGGACGTGGGCTTAACGCTTGCCCCAGAACCTCTGAAGAACACAGCTTTCACTCAAGGTATTCGACACCTCAGCACGGCAACCCGTTTAGGGAGGCTTGGCGGCTAGAGGCTTGTCGGGTCGAGGCTTCAGGGCTTAGGGCCGGGCATTAAGTTGTAGCGTGGAAACTCAAGTTCGCAAGGTTCAGACACGAAGCTGGGTGACGCCGGAACTCAAGTCCCTGGGCACTGACTTCCCTATTAGAGACCCCTGTATTTTAAAAGGAACCCTATTCTAACTATTGAGGCCCTATATTATCAGCAGTGATGACTGACTTCATATGTTCGACATTCCAAACTTGGAGACTTTTAGAACTGTGCAACACCACATGCCGCGACTGCTGTTGCGGCATGATTATCTGATTGCTGCGCAATGCACCCAGGTGCTGCGAACAACAAAACCTTCTGCTTCACACATTCATTGTTCAGGCTGGAGCTGGGTTTCCTACGGCAGACCAACACCAGAAGCACCCTTATAGAAATTGCGGTGGTGCCCTTGACGGAACCATGAACCCCTACACCCCCCCATGCCCAGATCAACCTTAAGCTAGAATGCGGACTCGTAAGTTGGATAGCCATGTTCGGAGCGAACACACACACACACACATTCCCCGACCGCTCTTATGGAATCTGGACATGAGAACCGTATTCAGCCAATCTTCGTACCTCAACCCTAAACTCTCATTTGGACCACCCATTACCAAGACCCTAAACCCCCGAACCCCAAAACCACATGTTTCCTTCACCCTAGATTTCTCGAACCCCTCAACCATGCCGCAAAGCTCAGCCTCAGGGGCCTCAGAGTTTCAGTAGGGTCCCGCTGAAGGACTCTATGATAAGGCTTTCAAGCGATTTTATACGTTTGTTTAGGTGTAGGGGACGGGGGAGAGAATAGTTTGAGTAGGGTTTCGGCGACACTCTGGTATGAGTGTTTATGAACTACAACGTGGATTCAATTATTTATGCAGCCCTCTCACATGGATCTTTGTCCTGGTCCCATATTTATAAAACTCCAAATGGTGGTAGTCCATGATCAAAGGACCTCGTATTTATGAAACTTTAGATGGTAGTCCATTTTACAAAGACATCAGAAGGCCCGGGTGCTGGTGATGCCGCCGACCAGTGAGGAGAAGCCAACCATGGCAAAGATCACCACAGCAATGGAGTACCTCAAATGCCAGAGACCCTATAGTCAATCGGGGGACAAAAAGTCAATCCTCCAACTTCCGAGTTATATCGATGACAGAAGATGACGGTGCTGAACCTGGTTGTTGGGACCCTGCTGGCAGTGGCCAACGGTGGTTTTGGTGTTGCTGATGACGATGATGCCGAGAGCCCTGATGACAATGTCGTTGCCTATGTGCGGAAGCACAAGATGATGTAAATGAAGAGGAGGACATGGTATGAAATTGGTGCCTGATGGCGATGACAGCCCTTGTTCGCCGGCTCTTCTACGGCTGTTGGATGTGCCCTCTGCCTTGAAAGCAACACCAACACTCACCACCAGGCTGCGACCGCTCCGACATGTTGGTCGGGTGAACCTTCGCAGACCAGGATTTAAGGCAGAAGAAATTGGATAGGCTTTGGAGTTTATGGCTCGAGGGTTTAGGATAGGTGAAATCTCTAAGGAAGCTCTAGATGCTTGGCCTTCAGCTTTAAGCCATTTGGGCCTTGGGGTGTGAAGGCTCCGAGTTCGGCGCTTGGCTTTAAGAGGTCCTGGGCGAAGGACGACACGCGGAAAACGAACTAGCATAAGAGCTAGAGTAAATAACACAACAAACTACTACTCCTGATTTATCTATACTGAAAATTCTATAGTCGACCCAAACCGCTCTGCTACTTAATGTGGTTACGAAGGGGGCCCAGGCCTCGGCGTAGCGCAGGTTGCCGCCAAAGCCCTTCTTAATATTGTGTAATATACTGAGTATATTTTATAGTAGTATATTGGTATGTAATATTGTAAGATCTTTTGGTTTATTTAAACCATGTAAGCAGCAAGACTATTAGATATGATCTGTAGAAATCCCGGTCCCAGGTCGCTTCGGTTACGAATTGAATCCCCAACCCAACTATCCGCCTGGTCATGTCTTTGATCGTTTGGAGTTTCGGGGGTGGGTTTGGAGTTTGGGCCTTTTTCTTGGAGGGCTTAGTGCTCGGGATTTGGAGGCCGAGGGGCTTGGAGGGATTCGGGGGGTAAGCCCTGAACTCTACTAAACACTAGAGTCTACTAACCTCCGGAGCCAGGCAACTTCCATCGCGGCTGGAGTGAATTGGGTGATGGACCAGTGTAAGGCGGTTGCATAGCGGTAGGACCACCTCGCAGAGCCCATGTCAAGGATCCCGGATTCTTTCAATGTATATTTGAATAGGGCCTTCGGGGTAGATTAGTACAATGGTATGGTGACAATGAGATAGGGATGTTGTTACAAGTCAATTCCCACTCAGTCCGACCTCAGGACTTTCCCTTAACGTTTTTAGGGTGATTTTGAACAAACCCTTAAAACACCTGAACCCAAAATGGTGTGAATTCAAGGATTTCGGAAGGTCAGGGTCTCGTATCGCGGTTGTCAGGGCGTTTGACACTTCAGCTTCCAATGAACCTGAGTTTGGGCCGTAGGGGGTTTCGGCGCTCACACTCGGACAAACCAGGCGAGGCATATGAGTTCGAGTCTGCAAAGTGAAACGACACTAAGAGGCCTCATCACGACATCTCAGCAACAAAGGATAACAACACTTAAAGTAACTGTACCGGTCTGCGAAGCCTCTCCTTGGAATCTCTCTGTTGAAAGCATTCGAAGAAACTGGATTCCAAGGCAGTGGACCAGGCAGATCACTCAGGGTTGGGGTATAGGGATCGAGCCCTACAATATTCAGTAGTTACATATGAGAGGGAAGAGCCGGGTCGACTCGGGCATCGTGATCTGTTGTGAGGATCAAGCATTGCATGATCCCCGCGGTCAGCTTATTACCGACGCTACAAGCACTTAATTCAGACACCATACAGGAGTGAAACTGTGGAGTACGTGGAGTGACCTACATGTTATTTCACTGCTTGCCAAGCCGCCCCAAACTTTACTTGAAGAAAGGGATTTCACTTCCATGCCCACTAGTCATAAGTAAAGATGACTTCAGTATCACGCCCCGGCGCTTGGTCCAATGAATTCCAGCATGCACCCCTCAGTTGGTGAATTATGCTCACTGGGGATGTTTAGACATGGTTGAATGTGACGCGAACATCACACTCAATCACATCTAATCACCTCACGACAGAGTATATCATGTTTTCAGCTCGGTCTCACGTCTGCTAGAGCAGCCAGACTCGGCGCTAATAGCAGAGGAACATGCAGGGTTGGTAAACTTGTACCATAAATTCAAGAGCCCTGCATTCAATCTCTTGCAGTCATGCAATGTAGACCAGCGGGCCTGTCTCATCGGTGGCCATCTGGTTGGGCGTGGCACCCCATATACTGTATCTCTGGCCAGGCTGTTTGCCATCATGCAGTAAATTCCAGAAAAGGCAGTGGCCTGCGGTATATGGGAGGCGGTTGTCATGCAGCCATCCATGGGGAATCACCACTAGCAATATCCGACCGTGCCAGCTTACTCGCTCAGATCCCCGCCGCATGCAGTAAATTCCAGAAAAAGCCAGCAGGGCTGCGCTCGTAGCGGGAACCCACAGGTAGAGCTCATGGTCAGTCATTGCGTCCACCCACATGGTATGGAGAGCATGCAGATTCATATATTCAGGCTCTTCATCATGGGGCAGCGGAGGCCATGCAGATGCAGTTGTAAATTCCATGCATTCCATCATAGGCAACAGGCATGCAGTGTGTGCCTTCGGGCACGCCAGGCCCACTTTGCAGAGTTCCATGTTTTCAGCACGGGCGCGGGTTAGTGGTTTCTTAAGGAATACCAGCACAGTACATAAAGAGCCCATGTGAAGTGTGTTCAACATAAGGATGACGTAAAGCTAGCCACCGATAACTAAAAGGAAAGGGATAAAACATGCTAAAGTGGGGGTTTAATGGGGATGGGGGCACAGTGGACTTGTAGTATAAAGAAGACAGCAAAGTGTAAGAGTTACAATAGAAAACAGAGCTCCAGGGACCTCAAAGAAAGACCCCACACAGACCAGGCTATCCTTGGAGCGTATCTTGCACACACTCCTGCCACCTGTTAAGTATGGGTTATGCCCCCACGACGGCATCCATGGGCCAGGGTAATGTGGCTTGGGAGTCAGAGGTGTAGGAGTCTACTTGGGTGGGCCGGGGGCGCTTATCAGGGTTCAGAGTGGTAACAGAGTTTAAACCATCTGAGTGTGTTGTAGGGGGTGGTTCAGCAGTTCTTGTATTGTTCGCTAGGTCTTCTTCACTGTCGCTAAGTACCAAGGTTACTGGAAGACCCTGCTTGAGTTTTCCCACTCCCCATACTTTACGTGATGTGTTTCTTGGGAAATCACATAGAGTAGTTTGTCTAAGTTGTCCAGGGCCCATTAGTACTCTAGAGTAGAAATCAACCTCTAAGCTATCCGGTGTAACAAAGCCTAGGGAGTTGAGGGCGCCATCGAGTTCCTTAGTAATACTAATGGATCCCATGACTGTAAAGGCGACGGCTACCACTCGTCGGTTACACCAGTCCTCAGTGGCATGAAGGAGCCTCTTGCCTGTGAAGATGAGCGGGGCCCCACAATCAAAACTATGCAAGGAGCCCTGAAGGATCCCTCCCATATAATCTTTATGTACAGTGCCTGAAGGAGATTCAACCCAAATTTCACCCCCTGTGAAGTCACTTAAGGCGATAACCGCTTGTGGATAGTGAGAATTCCGAAGATCCCTGTGCAACCCTTTACCCGCAGAATCCCTAATAGTAATAGTTGAAAACTTATGGTGAGGGGTAACCAGGTGGAAGAGGCTACTAAGTTGACAGGCTAAATATTGTAAAGGGGCTGTTGCAACACAGAGGCGTGTTAGGTCCCGAGGATTCAACCCCATGGTGAGCGTGTGCCCCGAGCCTTCCGCTAGCTTGTATTTTGTGGGGGCATCGTCAAATGCCTTAAGGACCTGCCTCTTCAGTTCAGAGACCTGTTGGGTAGGATCGGGCATGCAGGGTGTGGGTTCTGGGTTGGCTTTACCAAGAAGAGCCATCTGAGCCACACTTTCACATTTCAGGCGGAATGCTCCAATTAGTTTGTGTACCAACATGTCGGGTATGCGGCCGTTGGGAGGAAGGTGCAGGGTCCGAGGAGGGGGCAGGTTCAGGGCTCGGAGTAGGGGGCATAAACGACCTAGCAACTATTACAGAGGTTTCATATACTTGTCGTTCCATCCAGACTACCCAGTCATGTACTTCCTCTCTCGTATGGGTGTGTACATTGTCCGCTACAGGGTCCGCAGAGCTGTCTAGCCAGTAAGGGGCACATTCCATAATGGCATCATGAACAACTACAATACCATCTAAGGGGTATGTATTACGCTTCTGTGCAAACCTAGAGTACAGAGAATCCGCAGCTACCCTAGCCACTCCCGCAGGCATGCTCTGCAGTTCACGTCTGAGTCTTTGTTTTAGTTCAACCTGCTCAAGGGGCATTGCTTCCAGTTCTACGCAGGCGCAGGAAGCTTGAGGCTAAAGGGGTCTCTGTGGATGCATCAGACGAAAGTGTGTTTCCGGGGAGAGCGGTTGTTCATTAATGGGATCTTCGGGGTTGACAAAACATACCCTTTCACTCCGAAGCCGTGGATCCCCTGTAGGCCACAGATAAGGAAGGTTCCAGTTGGTGTAGGTACCAGAGTAGCAGTCTAGTGTGTGGTAAACACGCATGGATACACGTTCAGCCCAAAGAAAGATACGATTATTGTCGTGAATACTAATAGTTTCTGGTCTATCTTGTTCATGCGCGGCAAGTGTGCTAGAGATGACATCCATGAGAGTAGCCCAGTATGACCAAAGGACAGACCCACTGTGCTGTAAAGGAATCATGCATCGCATTTTTCTGAATCGAACCAGGAGCCTTGAAGCAGCAACATAACAAAGATCCGGAGGGTACTGCAGCAACATGTTTTGGACTTCGAGGCCCCAAATACACTCCCTACTGAGCTCCCAAGGTGTAAGAACATCCGAGCGGGGAAGGAGGTACATGGTTCGAGATTATGAACTGTTAACATTGCTCGAGCCCGATACCACAGGTGGACTCAAGGCCTTATGAGTACGGCAGAAACAGACGGTGCGCTCTTTCATGCTTTGAAGTCACACTGCGCCATGCATGTATGGATTCCTTGCATTTGATGATGCATACAAATTCGAACATCCTAAATTCGGGACATGCATATCTGGCTTAGAGGATGGGGCGAAAATTAGAGGGAGGGGGAGGGAAGTAGTACCTAGTAATATTGCCGATTGTGAGGTCTGGGGCCCTGGCCTCGGGGTCTATGTGCAAGTCTAAGGGTAAAGGGATACGGACACTGCGGGTCAATGGCCTCTTCTACGATATTGGCGAGATCACAGGCTAATAAAAAGGATTCATCCAGAGAATAAAATAAGCACTGCAGGATGAAATCCTGAGAATCGAGCCTATGGCGAATCAAAGAACATAACCTGTGAACCTCTGGTATGGCATCAGAAAGATCAGCCTGCAGATCAATAACTTCATTGGTGAAGTCATCATGCAAATGAATTGCCTCCGATGCTATATTATGAAGGTCTTTCATTTCGGTGCTCAGCTGAAGGATGGACCTCCGGATCTGGTCCACGTCGTACTCCATTTTCCGCAGGCGCGTATCAATCGCTGGCAGCAGTGTGTGGGTACGCATTGTCCCAAGGAGGGCTTGTACGTGCAATTCTAGAACCGGCAGTTTATCAAGCTCTTGCAGGCGGAGCTGCATGGCCGACAGCATAGCAAGTTCCGATTCTTGCAAGTGCAGGAGGCGTTGTAGCTGATGAAGCACCGGTCGTATGTGTCTATCATAAACAAGGCGTAGCCCCCACGTCAGTGCCCATGCGGCCCCCAAAAAGGGTAGGAGCAGTATCGGGTTGCGTACAACGGTGTCCCACATGGCTGCGCATATACATGAAGAGTACACTAGACTGATGAGCCAGGGCTACATCATGACTCGTATTGTGAACCTTGGTTCGCAAACAAAAGCATGTGAGGGTCAATTGTAGGGGGAAAACATCGATTATAAATAGAGCTACCACATTTCGGGTCTGCGGGCGGAGCCCATGAAGTGGCGCACGACGAGTCATTGCACTCTGTTTTTGCACAGGCGGTCAGATCGGGGCACCGTATTTAGGCACCGCATGCAAACTGCAGAGACAGGCAT